GAGCTTTCGCCATGAATAATACAATAAGCTGTTATGCCTTGAAGCCGGTAATGAATACTTCATGATTGGTGCGGGAAGTAACAAACGTCTGTCTGCTTAAACATCATCCTCCTCCGGCAGATGAGAGCGGCGCTTAACGCTGCGGCTGCTTTGAACGTGATCACTATCGCTGATATCACAGGATAAAGACGACCTGCCGGTCTATAAGAAGCTAATGCAACACGTTTTGCAAAAGTAAAAGCACCTCTAGATCTTTTATTGATGAAGATTATTTGATGGAGTGTAATATCTGCTGGAGGAGGAGGAGGAGGGTGAATCACCATCTTAAAGTGAATCTCTGGATCCTCTGGGACACAGTCTGGATTTGACAAGCTTCATCACGTCTGCTGTAAATTTGCTTTAATTGGATCCTGCAGAAGTGACCCCTGTGGAATCCCGATTGGTCAAACACAGCAGCTGGATTAGCCAATCAATACCTGCCATTGGTGGAGTGGTTTCTAATAGCAACCAATCAAACATCCGCTGGTTCTGTGTTTAACATAAACGCTACAGAGTAAGGAAGTAAAAATCCCATTCATTTTCTCCATAGGGGAGAAATACATTTTTAATGATAACTTATAAACCTTCAAAGACAGAATTACTGTGAGCTGCAAGGTTGTTAATCAATAATATATGCTTCGGTTGAAGCCATTAGCATGCACTATTTTAACTTATTTTATAAATAATCGTGCTTAACAGTTGAATTACTGTTGAGAATACATTACCCATAATTCTGCAGAGAAATCTCCACCAATCAGAAAATCACAAGTTAATCGAGAAAAATAATGGATCATGTCTCTCTACGCTCTCAAACTACTACTTTAATATGTGTGTGTGTGCGTGTGTGTATATAGAGAGAGATACTGCAAGAAATATTAAATATATTTTGTTTCTTCACTGAAAAAAAAATGCTGTAAAAACAATTTCCACTTAGTAAATAGCAAACTAGAAATGGAAAATAACACATTGAATTAAACATGAAATTTTTAAGTAAAAAACTGAAATGGTATAATCTTTGTTTAATTTACAACTTCATGAAATCAAAAAATGACAAATGATTTCTTACAGTGCATATATATTTATATAACCTTCTTTTATCTTTTAATCAATAGTTTTATATTTATCTTTTTTTTTTTCAACTGTCATTCACAATGCTTCATGAAATTATAGTTGTTTCCCTTATTAAAGCCAACGAGTACACAGTCTTGCACCTTTGTCATTTTTAAAGTTTTTTCCCCCCCTTCAAGTCAGAGTTTGTAATGCTGCGATTCATCTTGTAGCAGATTGGTTTAGTTTGGTTTGTGGCTTATAAAACTTCAACAAAGACTTTTTAAAAAATGCATATGACAAAAAAATAAATGGGAAAAATAATTCGGGAACCAAAGCTCCTGATAAACTCACTATCGCTGATATCACAGGATAAAGACGACCTGCCGGTCTATAAGAAGCTAATGCAACACGTTTTGCAAAAGTAAAAGCACCTCTAGATCTTTTATTGATGAAGATTATTTGATGGAGTGTAATATCTGCTGGAGGAGGAGGAGGAGGGTGAATCACCATCTTAAAGTGAATCTCTGGATCCTCTGGGACACAGTCTGGATTTGACAAGCTTCATCACGTCTGCTGTAAATTTGCTTTAATTGGATCCTGCAGAAGTGACCCCTGTGGAATCCCGATTGGTCAAACACAGCAGCTGGATTAGCCAATCAATACCTGCCATTGGTGGAGTGGTTTCTAATAGCAACCAATCAAACATCCGCTGGTTCTGTGTTTAACATAAACGCTACAGAGTAAGGAAGTAAAAATCCCATTCATTTTCTCCATAGGGGAGAAATACATTTTTAATGATAACTTATAAACCTTCAAAGACAGAATTACTGTGAGCTGCAAGGTTGTTAATCAATAATATATGCTTCGGTTGAAGCCATTAGCATGCACTATTTTAACTTATTTTATAAATAATCGTGCTTAACAGTTGAATTACTGTTGAGAATACATTACCCATAATTCTGCAGAGAAATCTCCACCAATCAGAAAATCACAAGTTAATCGAGAAAAATAATGGATCATGTCTCTCTACGCTCTCAAACTACTACTTTAATATGTGTGTGTGTGCGTGTGTGTATATAGAGAGAGATACTGCAAGAAATATTAAATATATTTTGTTTCTTCACTGAAAAAAAAATGCTGTAAAAACAATTTCCACTTAGTAAATAGCAAACTAGAAATGGAAAATAACACATTGAATTAAACATGAAATTTTTAAGTAAAAAACTGAAATGGTATAATCTTTGTTTAATTTACAACTTCATGAAATCAAAAAATGACAAATGATTTCTTACAGTGCATATATATTTATATAACCTTCTTTTATCTTTTAATCAATAGTTTTATATTTATCTTTTTTTTTTTCAACTGTCATTCACAATGCTTCATGAGATTATAGTTGTTTCCCTTATTAAAGCCAACGAGTACACAGTCTTGCACCTTTGTCATTTTAAAAGTTTTTTCCCCCCCTTCAAGTCAGAGTTTGTAATGCTGCGATTCATCTTGTAGCAGATTGGTTTAGTTTGGTTTGTGGCTTATAAAACTTCAACAAAGACTTTTTAAAAAATGCATATGACAAAAAAATAAATGGGAAAAATAATTCGGGAACCAAAGCTCCTGATAAACTGAGCGCCTAATGTTGAACCTCATGAAACAGCCTTCAAAGCCCATGTATTTCGGAGTTAAACAGAACATCCAATCAAACAAAAATATAGCATGGGACTTTGCATTAAAAATAACCCCTCAGGTCATGTAAAGGTAAAATCTGCACAAACGGAAATCAACCAAAAAGGAAAATTCTTGTACAATAACGTGCATTAATGAATCATGCACAATAAAGGCAAGAACATGTTTTCAGCAAATGTTGATTTCATGTTGACTTTGAGCATTCAGCCTAGTAAAAGGATAAGAAACATGCATGTCAACACCAGGAATGAAACATCTAGACTAAGTTGGATGCTTTTACTCAAATTAGGACAATTCATCTGGAGCAACCTGGTGCTTCATGCCATTGCTTGCATCAATAAGGTTTCAAAGCAGCAGTCTTGCCAAATAAGTTAAATCACACCCTGATGTTCATATTTACTACCAACGCAAGGACTCGGCGCAGAAACCCTGTGGTTGAGCGATTAGTTCTGCAGTTAAAGGCGTGTAATGCATTAGAGACGGTAAGCAGGTCAGATATTATGTCATAGCTTTCAACCTCCATCTGTCCGACTCTTCTGCTCTCCGCTACAGACCACAGAAACCACCGCTCGGAGTTTACAGGAAAACATCAGACTGCTGTCTGGCCGCCGGCCCTCTCTACATGAGCATGCTGAACTGCTGGAATGTAATTAGTGTGGATGAAGGATCATTTGTAGTACATATAGTACATGCTGTCAGGTTCTTACAGGAACGGTGCGGCCAAAAATGAACAATCGATGATCGTTTGCACACCCTGATGTTTCTTTTCTTCTGTGCAACACAAAACGAGATGCTCACGCTGCTCTTTTGCATGCAATGAAAGCGAAACCTTCAGAAATCACTGTTAAGGCAATTTTGACAAATATCCAAGTTGCACCCTGTTATTCATACTGACTACATTCCTAAGGAACTATTTGACAATTTTGGTCAATTTTGAGATCTTGGGCTATTTGGCTTTATATAACATGTTACAGACTAGTGGAAAGAAAACATCCAAGCTACACTTTTAAGTGTTTATTTCATTGCATGTTCTGTCCATTTCTATCTGTAGAGTTCAATTGCAATATATATTTTTAACCACATACACCACATTTAGCAGTTTTATTCCTGTCTATATTCTGAATGTTTTTATAGAAGGGTTTGTTCATATATCATTTGCATTTTTGCACTTTATCAATTTGCGTCTATAGATTTCGATTACACTACATATCGTTACAGACCATTTTCTCAAAATGAGTTTGTTTCTCCACTTCAGCAGCAATTACATACACCAAACTTAGCAGTTTTATTCCTTTCCATATTCTGAAGGGTTTTGTAGAAGGGATTGTTCATATATAATTTGCTTCCTAATTTTTTATTCCTACTTTCTTTCTGGCTGTTGACATAATTTTATGATTTTTGGATGTACATCAGTAAATCAGTAAAAAGAGAACTCCAAAATCCCTTCTGTAAAAACTTTTAATTCTAATATGTTAATAATTAATATGCATCTAATTAAATATTTAATATGCATATTTAATTAAATAATGCAATATTTGCATATTTAAAAAAAAAAAATCAGAAAAGGTGTTCACTACACCTTTCTTCTCAACTAGAGATTAGGTTACACTAATCTTCTCAACTAGAGAAGAATGGTGATATCTATTAGTTCAATTTTTACCTATTCACCTGCAGTGTATTCAATTAAAATGACAGTAAGCACCATACAAATTATATGCAAATGACTTGTGCACTATAATGAAAATCACCTGTAGCCCTTTTGCTGTTGCTACTATTAGATAGTAAAAGACCAGGTATTGACAGTCTTCATTCACTTTCAATGCACAAAATGAGCAACATGAACTTTCTGCTAAACAGCTTGATTTGCGTTGCATGGAAGAAAAAAAACATAGGGTTTCAAACAGCATACGGAAGAGTAAAGGATGGCTGCATTTTTATTTTTGGGTGAATAATTTTACAAATGTTTTGGCCACATTAGTTAATATGTTTTCTGCTGTATTCTCTGTTGTCAGGGAACAAGATCATCTTCTCTAACCGTATGTGTGTGTGTGTGTATGAAAGCACACAGTGTTGTTTCTTCTGTCTGCACGCACCAATCTATTATTTCCCAGAAATCCAGTGACATGGGACCTGACAACAGATGTTTCCGTTCACCATGATCTGCAGCGGTTTGAGAAACAGAGCGAGAAAGAGAAAGGAAATGTGTTATTGTGAACTGACACACTCACCAGATATGAAGTTTGTTCCAGTGTCAGTCATCTCAAAAGGGCATCTCTCGTCTTTTCAAGGGCTTCTGGGTAACTGGAGTGATGCCACCTGTAGCCATGACAACAGAGAGAGAGACGATGCTTGTTTTATGATGCCCATCACCATATTTAAAACATATAACAAAGAGAAATACAGATTCCACCATCAACATCAGAGAAGAAAAGTGAGTCCCCATATGAGATCTCTTTATTATCTCAATCATTTCTCTTAGAAAGCAATGAGATTATATAAAGGGCGAAAAGATAACTTTTTCCTCATAAACAAAATAAAAATAAAAAATAAAATAATAAAATAAAATATATTATATCAAAATAAAAACAAATGAATGTTTCTGAAAATATCTCAATAATGCCATAAACTAAAAAAAAAAATATATA